TAGATAGACAGACAGATGATAGACAATGATGATATACACACACATATATACTTATGTATAAACATACATAGATGAACAAATGGATGGATAGATGGAAAATAGAGAGATAGCAATCACCCTTTCTGCTCTTCATAGAATATAATAGAAAGTTGTAATGGAAATCTGGACTCATTTCACTTCCATGTAGAATCCTTTGGGGATCCCAACTTCAAAAACATCTAACAAACGTTCATTTGTTCAAATGAAACAAAGAGGTAAGCATCCAAAAAGGCGATGCCCCTAGACCTCTGTCTACCCAAGCCACTGAGTCCGTCTGCTTCCCCTGGCTGCAATCTGTCTCCATGTAGGCATTTTCCACCCCCCACTAAACGCAATGTCATGCAGAAGACTCAAAGGAAAAGGTAAACGGATTAGTAGATGGATCGATGGTGGATATTAATGCTCTTTCATGTTGGGTTGAAGAAGGATTTGAGGTCATCAGGAGAGAAGGCAGCAGGAGAATAGACTCAAGTATTCAAAAGACTCTCTGGATTAAAATCCTATTAAACTCCCATCAGCTTCTCGGGAGGTATTTGAGAAGGCGGGGGTTTCTTTAACATGTCACCATAATTAACCTTCTCTCAAGCTGTTTTGGGTGGGGAATGTTGGCAATTAAGAAACTGAGAAACTTTCATTTTCTGTCACCCACATGGCTGTCTGAATGGTTCAGAGACAAGAGTGGAAAGTGGTTTAGTTTAATTGATTTGAGGGGTTCAGGTCTCTCACTTGAACCTGCTGTCAGACTCGCCCCTGAGATCTGAGCCCCTCATTAAAAAGGACATTTTGTCTAGAGAAAGAATCAAAGGTTCCGATCTACTCCAAGGCTTTCTTTTTCTTATTCCCCACAGTGTGTCCAACAGAAAAGAGCAACTGTGCAGAGCAATGCTTGCTTGCCTCAAAAACTCTGCTTCCGGCCCAGACTCCTCGACACAAAACCTGCCCCTGAAACCCAGATGGACTGTCTTTTCCTGCAGGTGTCACCTCATCATCTGCCTCATCCCTAGCAGCTGTTCAGATACACATAAATTCAGGCCAGGTGGGGACAGCCATATGGGGGCAGTGACCAGCCATTCCAAGAAAGGTCATAAAACATATATTTTTCAAAATTTAGTCTTGGCTCTCTCTTCTTTGCTAGGTAAAATGCCCACCCTGCCTCAAACATCAGCACCTTGACATCCTGAGCACTGAGTGAGCAGCTTGCCAGAGGATGAAGTTAGGGCTACTTCCAGCATCTGACAAGCTCAGCAGTGATTGCAGGATTCCTCTGGAGGAAAACAAGCTTCTTTATTTATTTATTTATTTTAACTTTCTCATTGTTGGGGCCTCAGAGTTACACAAGTCAGAAAAGGCAAGTTTAAATGATCTGTGTCCTTACAGCAACTGTCCCTCTTTTCTGTTTACTTCCGTGTATTGTCCCCCTCACCAGACTGTAAGCTCCTTAGAAATAGTCAGTGTAACCTATTTTCTCTCTAGTTCCTAGCACAGTGCCTGACAGAGCAGTTGCTATTTAACATGCTCTTGCCCATAACCACACAGAATTTATTTTGTGCCTTAAGGCAAGTCACAGCCTCCATTTTCACAATGAAAAATTACAGGGTCTGTAGGTCTACATGACCTCTGAGGTCATATTCCGGTTTTGGGAATCTCTGAAAAATAGGTTGTACAGGCTGGCTTTTTGTAGCTCCTACGCTTATGTCATTTTTATAACAGCAATGATAATTATGGTAAGAATAGAGGACATTAATTAAGCTCTTAACCATTCCCTGCTGTTTCCAGTGCCTTGTGGTATGATTTCATTAGTCCCATAAAGCTAAAGAGTCTTGTTACTCCTTGGATGCAGCTGGAGTCTGACAGCATCCATAATTTGCTCAAAGTCATATCAAGTGTGGTATGTTCTGTTCCCAGAAACTGGGCTCCTAACTATCCTGCTACAACCCTACCAAGAACCTCCTTTTGGAGTTTCCAGCCCAGGCTGCAACCCTTCAGCTGGTTCCCCAAGGGGTGCCTGCCTGCCTGCCTGTCAATTGCTTTGATTTCCTACTCCAGAGTCCCAGCTGGCCCAGTCTCCACCTGCTCCAACCAGAGACAGAGTTTGCCCTAGGATCTGGCAGGCCCTTTGTCCTGATGGCCTGGAGCTCCTATTGGGAGCAGGTGGCCGGAAAAGCAGGAGAGGACAGACAGTCATCAAGGAAGCAGCCTGAGAAGCAAAAGGGTAAGAAGGCAAAGAAGTCTGAATGATGAATTCCAAGGGTTCAACCCCCAGAGACCTGAGGCCATCTGCCCACTCTAGCCAAGGGCAAACCAGAGACGATGCCCAGTGTCTGAGTTACATCTGTAGGAGGGCTGGAGTAGAAATGGCATCCTAGGAGGGCCTTGGCACTACCTTTCAAGAGAGTTTTCATTTGCCTGTTGGATCTTGTCTCATTTTAAATCATCTCTGCCTGATAAAACAAAAATTTTAACTTAATTTTTGATTAACACATGAGAGTTGTGCCTACTCTTAACATACTCAAGTCTATAGGCTCAATGCCTAGCACAGAGAGAGAGAGAGAGAAAGAGAGAGAGAGAGAGAGAGAGAGATTGAGATTTACAGGGTAAAATGTAATTTTCATACACATGTAAATCACGCAATGGTCAAAGCAAAATAAACATATGTATCCCTTCAAACATTGATCATCTTTTTATGGTAGAAAGTTTAAAAACTTTTCTTCTACCTTTATTGTTTTATAAATAGAATGCATTGTTGTTATTTATAGTCATCCTTTTATACAGCAGAGTACTACGACTTGTCTCCCTTATCTTACTAGAGCTTAGTCCCTGTACCTGTTAACCACTTCACTAATAATGCATTTTTGACCTAAAGCATTCAGTGTTTTGGAAAGAAACTTTGTGTTTTGCAGCAGAAATAGTTGATAAAAATCAAGCTCACCTCAACAACCATACTTACTTCTAGGCATTTACCAAAATGAGTTGAAAAAACATCTACACCAAAACTTATACACACATATTCATAATAAGTTTGGTCATTATAGACCCAAACTGGAGTCAACTAAGATGTCCTTAAGTTAGGTGAATGGATAAATAAATTATAGTTAAGTTCATACGATGGAATATTATTTGAGAATTAAAAAGAAATTAGATATCAAGTCAAAAATGAAAGAAGCCAGTCTCCAAAAGGCCGCATGCGCTATGATTCCAATCACATGAGCATCTAGAAAAGGGCAAAGCAACAGAGCCAGAGGAAGTGTGTGAAGCAAAGGGTGGTTGGGTTCCAAGGGCATACAGCTGCTCGGTATGCACTGTGGTGGGTGGCAGATACATGATATACACATTGGCTAAAACCAATGAAACCATACAATACAAAGCATGTCCCTGAATATAAACTATGGACTTTACTTCATAAAAATGGATCACTACTGGCCCATCAATTATAAAAATGTACTGTATCAATAAAAATTGTTCATAAGGGAGGCTAGAACTAGGGTAAGTAAGACACATGGCAATTCTTTGTGCTTTTGCATAATTTTCTATAAAACTAATATTTCTATAAAAATTCTATTAAAATGGTTCATCTGAATATGCTTTGCATCCTTAAAAGCAATCATCTTGCCTGTCCATATTCTCTAACCAGCCCCCAATAATATGCTAGACACTGTTCTAAGTATCACTTATGCATGATCTCATTTAATCTTTACAAAAAAATCTCTGTAAAAAACTGAAGAAGGAGTTTCAAGGTCAGTAATTGAAAGAAAGACTCAAACTGATCCAAACTCAAGCTACCATACCCATAATTCCTACCATAAGTGGATAGTGGAACAGATCGTGTTTTGACAACTCCTGTATTTAGTAGTTCCCTCACAAATAATTGCTTTGCACCAAGTATTGAGCTAAACTCTGAGGACGTAAAAAGCAAAAGAGACTCCCTGTCCAGAGGAGTTTGTGATTACCTGGATGAGAAAGAGATGGAAGATGACTATGAAAGTCCCAGGAGTAAGAAACTAGTCAATCCCAGGTCCAGATTTGTTATGAGAGCTTGGAGACAGCACTCTGATTGGGATGGACAAATTAGGCATCTTGTCTTAAGTTTACATTTATACAGAAACCACACTGTATATGTGTGATGGTTGGTTTTAATTGTCAACTTGAATCACTTGGGAAGAGAGCCTCAATGGAGAACTGTCTTAATCAAGTTGGCCTTGTGGGCATATCTATGGGGGTTGTCTTGATTATGTCAATTGATGTTGAAAAAGTGAGCCTAAAGGTGGGTGACACAATTCCCTGGGTTTGGGTCCTATTTTGTATAAGAGTAGAGCCATATCCATGCGTGCTCTTGACTGTGAATGTGTACGACCAGCTGCTTCAAGCTCCTGTCGCCTTGACTTCCCCACAGTGATAGACTGTAACCTGGATAATTGTAAACTGAAATAAACTCTTTCTTCTCTATTTTGCTTTTGGTCATGGCATTTTATCACAGTGGCAGAGGGAAACTAGGATAATATCCTAGATAGCCATCCCACCTCCAGAGACGGAAGATTGGGAGCATGAAAACCCGGAGATTTTTTGAAATGCATAAAAATTGTATGCACAAAGCCCTGGGCTTGAACTCCAGTACTGAACAGAACAGGCGTGATGGAGCACACTTGTAATCCCAGCACTTGGGAAGTGAAGGCAGGAGAATCAGAAGTTCAAGAGCATCCTGAGCTACTTAGTGAGTTTAGGCCAGCTCAGATTACATGAGATCTTGCTTTAAAATATATAATTCTCACCAAAAAGTTATAAGTATAAAAAACAGTTGTCTTGAGGAAGGGGAAAAGATCAAGTTTTATGTCTATGACATGATAAGCTTTGGTTTAGGTCTCTGGCTCACTTCCTCTCACTCTGTCCTCAAGTTCCTATCTGTGCCATTAATTTATGAAGGCAGTGTGGTGTCTCTCAGATCATAAGATTACTTAGACTTTTACCTGTGTCCTTCTCTTTGTTTCTAGAAAGCTCATGAACAGTAGCGCCAATGTCATGCCTCAGACTCTTGATGATATTGGCCAATGCTGGCATACTGCGTTTATCCAAGTAGGTGAAAAACTCATACTCGTCTTTGTTCAAACGAGAAGGTCTGGATTCGATGTGGGTCAAGTTGATGTCATTCTCCTAAAAGAGTGAATTACAGGTATAAGGGATGGGCTCTGGAACTATCATAGGTCATAGACACAAAGCCAAACAGCACAAGATAGCAAACCAGAGAGTTGAAGAGGAGAATTTTTTTATTGTGAGTAGAAGAAAATTCTACATTTTTTCAAAATCTGTTTACCTTCTGTAAAACCAAGTTTCAGGCTGGGTATGGTGGCTCACGCCTTTAGTCCAAGCACTCAGGAGGGAGAGGCAGGCAGATCTCTGTGAATTCAAGGCCAAGGCTGGTCTACACAGTGGGGCTACAGGGGACCCTGTCTCAAAACAACAACAACAACAAAAAAAACCAAGTTTCAACTGATAAGAGGTGGGGGGAATAATTCAAATGCCACCAAACTGAATCACATGGAAATCTGGTAACATTCTAGAGTTGCAAGATTAAGTTTGAGTTTTGGATTAAATTTCTAAGATAGTGGCTGTCAGAGATATTTACACAGGAAAGCCTCCCTTTCCCCCAGTGAAATTCCTTAGAATGTCAATAAATAAACAATAGAGGCACAACATTGTTTTTTTTTTAATGTGAAACTAGAAATATCTTTGAAAATAGTCCCTATTCACAGGCTTACTGGGTTTACATCTAAGTTCTCAATCACACTGATTATGAAACACTAGACAATTTCCTTTCATGCCTCCACCTCCTCAGTTTCCCTATCTATACATGGGTGATCTTGACAACACCTGCTTTGTAAGCTCCTTGGGAATCTTGAACGTTAATACATACATACACTCTAATGGGTACAATACAAATGCTTGGCAAAACTTACATAAAATTATTATCATCATATGTTGATTTAAGTCATTTAGCAGTTATATAAATATATAATGTATTTTACATATACATAAATATCTATGTAATACTCACCAGATGCCAATCACTTTTGAGGTAAACAAAACAGATACTGATACTTTCCTTTATAAAGTTTATATTCAAATTGAGGGAAACAGACAACAAACATAGAAGACCACTGACTTGTGTATTATTTTATAATAATAAGCTATAAGCAGAGAGAGAGAGAGAGAGAGAGAGAGAGAGAGAGAGAGAGAGAGAGAGAAGAGCAAAGCAGATAGAGGACGAGCAATCCTGAGTAGAATAAGGGCACAGGGGAGAATTGAAGATGGTCATCACAGCCTCCTTGAAAAGACAAATCTTAGGCACAATCCCAAAGGAGCTGATGGACATGAAGTGGCAGTGCGCTTGGCCTGTTGGAGGGATACCTATGAGGCCAGGATGGTCAAAACAGGAATGAAAGAAGAAATACAAAGTCAGAATAATCACAAGAATGAAGGCCAGTTATGCAAATTATTTTAAGGAATATAGTTTTGATTCTGAAAGAAATAGGGTTCTTTACAAGATTTTGATTGGACAGATAATCTGATCTCACTGTCTTAGCATGATCAGTCTGATTCCCATATTGAGGCTAAATCTCATAGAATCATACAGATGCATCAAGTCCTGCCAAGAAGCCACTTCTAAACTTACAGTTGCCTGTAATAGTTGTGGAAACTATGGTGGAGAGACTGTAGGTGGCAAGAAAGGGTGGTATTCTGGTATTTTTTCGTGAGTTCCTCAAAAGGCCAAAGTTATCAAGTGATATGAGAAGAATGTGTGGGTAACAAAATGGAAAAGGGCCATTGTACACCATTTCATCTTCAGATTTGATTTACTATGTGGCTGAGAGAAAATTTCAGAAAACCATGAGAAAGAACACGACACCTATAAAACTCTCATATCTCCTTGGAGTTTCCTCTTGAAATTGAATATTATGAGAGAATCTAGGTACTACAGTGACACAAGATGAAGAAGATACTTATAGTTTCACATTATCCACCCCTAACACCCCTACCTATTACATCGTTTATTAAATTTGTATTTATTTATTTTGGTATGTATGTGTGCACATATGGGTACATGTGTGCAAATGTGTGTAAGAGTCAGAGGACAACCCTCTGGAGTCAGTTCTTTCCTGCCACATTATTTATCTAGTCACTCCTCTCCCCCCCTTTCTCTCTCTCTCTCCCTCAGTGTGTGTGCACGCGCGCGCACACACACACACACACACACACACACACACACACACATGCATGCATGGGCATCATATCACATGTGTGGAGACCAAAGGCCAGTTTGTGAGAGTCTTTTCTCTCCTTCCATCATGTGGACTCCAGGGACTGCACTCAGGACATCAGGCTTAGCAACAAACATGTTCACTGGCTGATTCATCTTGCCAGCCCACTATTATGCCACTTCTCAACATCTGAATCTGTCATCTGGATGTGCTTTGATTTCTGCAGGTATTATTCTAGTAATGAGCATGTGAGTTGCCTCATATTTTCTTGCCACTAGGAACAAATAATAGTGTTATCCACTCACTCTTCTCTGCTTCCCTAGCTGATTGCCCAGCGTATACACCGACTGATAAACTGGAAAGTATTTTCCTTTTAAATTTCTGTGTGTGCATTATCCCATTGTCCTTCGGAAAGGTTATCCTCGCCATTCTGTGAAAGAACTTATGTTCTTCACCTGCATCAACTATCAGAATGTTTAGTACTTTTTACCTGATAGATAAGAATAGTGCACAACTCATTATTCAACTTTGCTTAATTGCTGCTAAGATTAAGCATCTTCTCTGTGTTTGTTGGTCCTTTGTTTTTCTTTTTTATGAATTATCATTTGTACCATTTTTCCATTATAAAGCTAATTTTCCAGATCAGTAATAATTGTTTATATATTGATATTAACACTGTTGCATATAATTATTCTCAAATTAATATTATTCTTGTATATTCTTAAATATCTTCACACAAACACATTTTTAATGCTCTGAAAGAATGTAAGAGGGAGCAAGTGTGCCCAATCTTCATGTTTTTAAGGAGTGTACCTACAGTGTGAGTTCAGGCAAAAGCAACTTGTTCCTTGTCACTGCCTTAGTGTGAGGCATTCCTCCATTTTTCCAAAGAGTTCCTAAATATCAGAACCAAGTACCAAGGACCTCATTGGGTTTTTGTTTTTTGTTTTGGGGTTTTTTTTGTTTTTTTTTTTTTGACATCTTGAGTATCAAGTGAACAGTCATCACAACATAAACAAGCACAAGGCTAGTTGTACGATTTCTCCAAATCCATTCACTAAAACAATACTGATTTTAACATGCCAAATAGCTCAACAGTCTCACTTACCTCCAGACTGTGTGTTTGGGAGAAATGAAAGACATTTGGGGTATGGGCTCATTTATGATATCGACATGTCAGTTTTCTTATAGACTCAGGATACTTTAAATTGGTTCAGAAACAGAAATTGAAAAAATAAGTGTTAGTCAGCAACAGCACTTGTTAGACTCTGATAACACACTAAACCTCTGACATAAAGCCAGGAAAAATCCCAACACAAAGAGAGGAGGCAGGCAAACATTATGCCCCTAGCTGAGGAACTATCAGCAATGGCTGGCTGCTGAGAGAGGGAGAGTCCGTTTCCTTTAAGAGGTTGGCCCCAGTAAGCTGACAATGATCCAGGGGATAGTCACACACTTGAGAGTATGTGGGCAGCACAAAGAAGAAGAGGAGGAGGAGGAGGAGGAGGAGGAGGCTGCAGTCCCAGCTATTCTGGGAACTGTCATTCACAGCTTTCAGATGAGATTATCACAAAGTTAATGGTTGTCTAGTGGGGGGAGGAGGAGGAGAAAAAGAAAAAGTAAAAGAAAAAGAAAAAGACACAAAATTGGATGGGTATGGACGGAGAGGTGGACTTGGGAGGAGTTGTAAAGGTGGATACGATCAAAATCCACTGTATGAAATTCTCACAAACTAATTCAAAAATTTAAAACAAGAAAAATTGTAAACTTCCTACCATTAGCCAGTTAGCAAGCAGAGAAACTTGCCTGACAAGTCAAAATCCTATTTCTACATTCATGCTAAAACCTGTGACCCTGCTTTGCAAATGTCATAAAGATGCAAAATTAAGGGTTATTTACTATAGATTCTCTCAACTTCAATGTCTTTATATGGTAATGCTTTAGTTCTTATTGTTTTTAATCACACACACACACATACACACACACACAGAGAGAGAGAGAGAGAGAGAGAGAGAGAGAGAGAGAGAGTCATCGGCTTGTTTGTCCTTAAATTTAAATATTTCATAACCGTGTGCTTCTCAGCAAGTCTGATTTCACTAGTGTAGCTGTTCATTAAGGAGGAAATCAGAGCATAGTTTGTACACTTATACAAATGCAAGGAGTAACTCCAATATTTAAATGAACAAGAAGTGTCCTGCTAATACAATAACTTAAAATACTCTAAAATTCCTAAAAATGAAATTCACTCACCTTGTGGTTGAAAAGATGTTTGCTCAGATTACAAACGGTGTAAAACCGAGGAGAACATGTCATTTACAACAGTGATAGTTTTTTTCTATGAGTATCACATTCTACATTGAGTTTGTTGTTCTTACTGTGGTGGTTGTTGTTGTTTGAGACAGGATCCCCTTGTAGTCCCTGTTGGCCTGGAACTCTCTGTGTATACCAGACTGGCCTCAGTCTCATAGAGATTCACCTGCCTCTACCTCTGGAGTGCTAGGAGTAAAGGTGTGTACCACCAAGCCTGGCAGAACTCTTTTATGTGACTTCCTTAGTCTTTTGAGGAGAGTAAGAAAGATGAACAGATAAAATCAGAGATGAAAATGCTTTGCTGTGAAGGACAGGGGAGGGAGGTCATATTTTGCCATTGTGGAGTCATTGGCCTTACCTTCCAGGGATACAGCAAGCACTCCAAAAAGTATCAACTTTTATCATTATCTTCATTATCTCTTTCTGCTAATTCTTCCCCGTGATCCCCAAGATCCCAGAATGTGCTACCATTAGTCACAAGATTAACCTGCAGAGAAGAGACTGCTATCCAACATCTGCTATCCAAATAAGGCCACATGAGGGCCCTAAGTAGAAGAGAGAGATCCTGGAAAAGGGAAGGTCAAA